GCTGCCCTGAGACCTTAGGATGGTGGGCAGGGCTGCTCTGAGACCTTCTTCTCTCCCTAGCCTCACACTTTTTGCCTCCGAACCTTAGGCTTTCATTCCCCAGGGACTAGACACTGGCTCTATTTTTATTCCCTTTTCACAACCGCCATCTTTCTCCTCAAACTCTGGGTCTTCTCAGATGGAAGCCTTTGACCACAGAGGGAGTGAGCGGACTGAACCTCGTGTTAATGCGTTTCTTCCTGCCAGCCCCCCTCTAAGTCCTTTCGGAAACAGGATACAGGTGGCATGCCATGAGAAGACAAGGTCTAGCAATGAGAAAAACAGCCTGGGCACCATGGAGTGTCACAGGAACTGGTTCATAGCACATCATCCATTGAATTTAGGTCTGGCACCCCGTTCCCTGGGAGAGGCTGACAGGGCTATGGAGGTCAAGGGCTCCTAATCCCTTGGGGTCTAGGGCCAGGCCACCCTGATGTAATGGGTTCTGCCGAACTCTCTAAAACTCTTAAGAAAATTACTTGTCAGGAGGGAGGAGAGAGCTGCCTTCTGTCAACTGAGGCAAGTTTGGGTGATTAAGCTAAGGAAGCAAAGCCATTTTGGCCCAGGGGATTAACTTTGAGGTGTGCTGGGAACCAAGAAGTAACTTATTGCCTGTGAGGCAAACCAAACCCGAAATGACTCCCAGGTAATTGCTTGCCTCTCCTTCTGCCAAGCCAAGCAGCCCGGAATATAAAGGAGAGCTTCTGCTGTCATCCCCAACCTCTCCACAGACCTTTGCTCAGCTAAGTGATTGCTAGCTCACCGCCACACTCCTCACCATGAGCAGACAAGCCTACAAGAAGTCCTTCGGCTGCGGGAGCCAGGGCTTCTCCGGCCACTCGGCTGTGGTATCTGGCAGCAGCAGGAGGAGCTGTGTGGCACGCACTGGGGCAGTCAGTGGAGGAGCTTGTGGGTTCCGGAGCGGAGCCGGTAGCTTTGGCAGTCAGAGCCTCTACAGCCTGGGTGGCAGCAGAAGTATCTCTATTAGTGTGGCTGGTGGCTCCCAGACTGGTGGCCTCGGTGGAGGGCGTGGCAGCGCTGGCAGTGGCTTTGGAGGTGGCTTTGGGGGAGTTTCTGGATTTGGAGGAGCTAGTGGTTTTGGTAAGCCCGGTGGCTTTGGCCCCAGTGGCTGCCCTGGGGGGATCCAGGAAGTGACCATCAACCAGAGCCTCCTGCAGCCCCTCAATGTGGAGATCGACCCCCAGATTGGGCAAGTGAAGGCCCAGGAGCGTGAACAGATCAAGACCCTCAACAACAAATTCGCCTCCTTCATTGACAAGGTGAGTCCAGAGCCCAGAGGCATTGGGTGGGGGGTGTTTGGGGTCCTAGAGGATGGTACACAAAGCTGCCAGTGGGATGTCTGGCACTCGGGCTGGCTACCTTATGCTTCCAGGATAGTGGCCACATGTTTCTTGCTCTCTGTATCCTCATTCCAACTGTGGAAGGAGGGGAGGACTCCTGGCTTTATTTTCCATCTAGTGACGAGATGAGGACCAGCATGGTGAGGGATCAAGTACATTTTTAGTTCTGAAGAGTTTGCCACAAACCCTAATAGTTTACCTCCTTGTGGGCAGACAATTGCCTGATACTAGCTAGCAGCTAACTAACTCTGTACAAATCTGGGGACTGTTTTTCATATGCTCAGCAGCACCATCTCTGCCTAGTGATAACGCGCTTCTGCCAGTGGTAAGCTGAACTGTCAACGATGGGGCAGAGCAGGGCATGCTGGGTCCAAGGCAGAGATGAGCCTTGGTCAGCTGCAAGCTGAATTTCTGAGGACCCATTGGCTGTTTTTACTACCTTCATGGAGAAGAGAGAAGCTGATAGCTAAGTCTACATAAAAATCACTATAGCCGCGCTGGCCTCCTTCGGCTGTATTTTGAAGGGTCCCGAGAGACTGAGAGTCTCTCATATCATGGGTTTGGCTGTTCACTTTGCTATTCCATATATACCTCACTTATGGTGATTTAATGGTGTTCAGGTGGCTGTAGGAATCAAGGGACGCAGGATATATGAGAACAGGTTTACAAATCACTCCACATACACCTGCCGTCCCTTTTCCACTTCACATCTTCTCCAAATTCTGAAACACAGAGGTCACTGTGGGTTGAGGAGTCGGGTCTGTTCCCCATCTTCCTTAACCTTTGGGGTGGACAGTCCATGTGCCGACTGAGGGGCTCCTTCCCTTTCTCTCTTGATACAGGTGCGCTTCTTGGAGCAGCAGAACAAGATCCTGGAGATCAAGTGGGAGCTGCTCCGGCAGCAGACCACAGGCGCTGGCTCAGGGCCCCAGAGCCTGGAACCTTTGTTTGAATCCTACATCAGCTGCTTGCGCAAGCAGTTGGATTCCCTTCTCGGGGAGAAGGGAAGCCTGGAGGGAGAATTGAGGAGCATGCAAGACCTGGTGGAAGACTTCAAAAAGAGGTCAGGGTCCCCGTGGAGGAGCTTCCTCACTCGGGATTCAAACACCTTCAGTCAATACTCTCTGCTGGGTTTGTGGAGCGAAGTCTGTCCAAGTTGAAGCTGGCAGAGTAGGAACTCACGCTTGTGGGGCTGACCCTTACACAGTTTTCAGTTTCCGGCAGGTTCCCCTCCTACATCAGTCCAGATGAGCACGGGGTTCTCTTGAGGTCGGGAGCGTCATCTGTACACAGGAGTCACCTAGGAAGGTCACGAAAAGGGCATATCCCTGTGTTCCAGTTGCTGCTATTCTGAAATTGTGGGTATGGGCAGTGCTGGGTCTGACTGATCCCTAGCCCCGGTCCAGGGCTGGATTGTGCAAATTCATTCTAGTCTTTTCTATGTTTGGTCTTCTGCATCCGGAACTTCACACTGCCTCCTTCTTAAGGTTCCAAATTTGAGTTCACACCTGAGATCTGTGAGAAGTGAACAGGGCCTCCCAGGTGGGAGCGAGCTCCAGACATCATTAGGAGTCAAGGCTCACATACAGGGCTATACTTGCTCCTGGGAGCCCCCATTCTTTTACCATTAACTCACTGAAGTTGTTTGAAGAGCTCAGGCACACAGGTGGGCTCTTGATCCACTCCCAGGTATACACCCATTAGCTTCACATTGACCTTGGAGAGGGCAAGGCAGCCCTTGAACTCTGAGAAGTCTTCAGACAGTATGTGATTTTCTGGTCTTGGCAAAATGATTATGTAGCACCCTTGTTAAAAAATTCTGAAGAATTTCAAGACGATGGTAGCAGAGCTTTGCCAGCAGAGTGAGGAGACTGTGGCTCCGTGTGATTGCACAGGGCATGTGCCCACAATGCATGAGTCTTGTCTCTGGGTGGAGGGTCCTGTAGGAGCACAGAGGTCCTTGCCTTTTCCACTTTCGTGTTTTACGTATGTGGGTGTTTTGTCTGCATGGACATCTGCACACCAGAAGAGGGCATTGGATCACGTGACTCTACAGTTACAGATGGTTTGAGCCACTGTGTGGGTGTTAGGAATTGAACTCAGGACCTCAGGAAGAGCAGCTAGTGTGCTTAACTGCTAAGGCATCTCTCCAGTTCTGAAATGTCTCAACCTGTGGTTCTTCCTGCCCAGGTATGAAGAGGAAGTCAACAGGCGCACTGCCGCTGAGAATGAGTTTGTGGGGCTGAAGAAGGTGAGTGAGTGGTGGAGTGGACCCAGAAACCCTGTGTCTCCCACAGAGGGAGCAGAGCACTCCTGTGGACGGGGCTTACTTCTTCCATATATTCTTTGGAAACGTTGGAAGGGAGCTGTTCAGTTTAAACCCAACTGTAACTGACAAGCTAGTTAGTAATGTTACTAATAATGAACATCTCATGCATTGCATTAATAATCAAGACTAGTTTTAGCCAACACATGTACCATACTTTGTTTCTGTTCCCTTTAAAAGGTAAAGTGAGAAGTTAGATCTAGAAGGGCTAGGGGAGGTACAAGCGAGAGGGAGGAGGGCTCAGAGAGAGGCTTGGGTAGAAGGAGACAGAGGCCATTCTCTGGTCTCTCTCTTTCAGGATGTGGACGGTGCTTTCATGAGCAAGGTGGAGCTGCAGGCTAAAGTGAACAGTCTGACGGATGAAATTGACTTTCTGAGGACCCTCTATGACATGGTGATTCTTCAGTTTGCTGCTTAGAGACTGGCCACCAGCAACTTCACAAGCACAATTTTTGGGGGCAGGTCTAGAGGCAGCCCACCCTCAAAGCCAGCCACGAGGCTCCTGACTCAGCCCTGGTCCACCCTGGAAATGCCCACGTTGTTCCTCTTGCCTTCAGGGTCAGGGCCCCTCTTCCCTGAACTCCACAGTCCCAGATCACAGTCAGCTCCTAATACCCCTCTGCCCGGTGCTCCAAGGAGAAGCCACCCTTGTGTTCTCGGACTGATGTTTCCAGGTTGATACATCTTTGCAACTTGCCCCATTTTAGATTTGTTGCTGGCATTCTGTAGGCTCCAGACAGACCTGAAATAAAAGCTTTATTTTTTTCTACTACCCCATTATTTAGCATTCTTGGGCATCTCTGTTAGTAGAGAAGTCCCAGTATCAACTGGCATCTGTGACCATCCATGTTCCCCATAGGAGCTGTCCCAGATGCAGAGCCATGTCAGTGACACATCTGTGATCCTGTCCATGGACAACAACCGCTTCCTGGACCTGGACAGCATCATCTCTGAGGTCAAGGCGCAGTATGAGGAGATTGCCCAGAGGAGTAAGGCTGAGGCTGAGGCCCTGTACCAGACCAAGGTGGGACCCTTCCCTTCATCCCTAAGGTCATTAAGTTATGATCAGCCTCATGAAAAATTTGTTGACACTTTACAAAGCCCTGCTGATCCATCTCCTCTGTCAGCTTGGGGAATTGCAGACCACAGCCGGCAGGCACGGGGATGACCTAAAGAGCACCAAGAGCGAGATCATGGATCTCAACAGGATGATCCAGAGACTCCGAGCCGAGATTGAGAACGTCAAGAAGCAGGTGTGGCAGCAGTGGAGCTCTTTTACCCGGTTTTCTTCCATCTTTGGTGAAGTCACAGCTTAGGGAGCCTTTGCTGTCCAGCTATTTCCCCTGAAGGCTGAGCTCCTTGGAATCCCAGAACCCAGCAGGAGGGAGGGTTGTAATTCTGATCTACAAAGCTAATCTGACCACTACAGTGCTGGCCTTAAAGTAGTCTGACTGCCTGACCAATGGAGCTTTTTGTTGTTGTTGTTTTTTAAGTCACACTTTATACAACCTCGATGGCTACTTTGTATCACTGGAATGAAGTGGTCAGAGAAGGGAATTTTTTTTTAACAGTCTTGCAAAAGAGATCAAAGGCTAACCAGATTGCTGTTACCTGTACCAGCTCAGGGAAGCAGATGTGTTTCTTTTCATGAGTCTCCAGTTGATTTCAGTGGGTCCAGGATGAATTAGTCAAACTGCAACATTATCCTGACTTGTGAGCACATGCCACTGGGAAGGGAAGGAGGAGTGATGATGGGTGATGGGTGACGAGATCCTGTCCTAAGGACAATCAGCTGTTTGTTTAGTCCTATGCTAATTTCATTTTTTAATTCTCTCTTCCCCAGAACACCAACCTGCAGACATCCATTGCAGAAGCTGAACAGCGCGGCGAGGTGGCCCTCAAGGATGCTGATGCCAAATTCCAGGACTTGCAGGCCGCCTTGCAGAAGGCCAAGGATGACCTGGCCCGGCTGCTGCGTGACTACCAGGAGCTGATGAACGTCAAGCTGGCCCTGGATGTGGAGATTGCCACCTACAGGAAGCTGCTGGAGGGCGAGGAGAGCAGGTGAGGGGTCAGCATTCTCCAAACAGGTTTCCTACCCCACCCCTAAGACAGGGTTTCTTTGTAGTTTTGGAGCCTATCCTGAAACTAGCCGTTGTAGACCAGGCTGGCCTCGAACTCACAGAGATCTGCCTGCCTCAGCCTCCCAAGTGTTGGGATTAAAAGCATGTGCCACCACCGCCTGGCACCAAGCAAGATTTTATAGTTGCCTAAGGTAGTCAAGATAGGGGGGAAATGCTAATAAAATGAGAGGACAAGTTGGACAGAAACCAGGGAGCCTCCTGAGCAGCTGAGGAAGGCTCGAGCCCACTGCTTTTCATTCTCATTATCTCACTATCTAATTTATCGTGGGCACAGGTGGTAGGAAACAATGTGGTAGGAAAAGCACTTTGAAGCTGTGACAAAAGTCACAGACCAGAGTTGTCCCCTGGAACGTTCCCAGATGGAAATAGTCTAGGCCAGGCTGTCTGGTGCAATAATCATTAGCCTCTCTCGATTCCTTTGTCCTTTCCTCCCTTATACTTTCCTTCTCTCCCTCTCCCCACCCCCACTGTTCTTTTTTTCTTTTCTTTAATTTTATTTATTATGTATATAATGTTCTGGCCACCAGATCTCATTATAGACAGTTGTGAGCCATCATGTGGTTGCTGGGAATTGAACTCAGGACCTCCAGAACAATAGTCAGTTCTCTTAATCTCTGAGCCATCTCTCCAGCCATGTTCTTTTTTTTTTTTTTCCTATTGAGATGCGGGTCTCACTATGTAGCCCCAGCTGATCTTGAACTTATGATTCTTTTGCCCCAGGATCCTGAGTGCTGGGTTTACTGTCTATGCTTCAATGCCTGGCTTCTTCCAGCATTTGAAATGCAGTGTAACCGAGGAGTTGAGTTTTACATTTAATTGAAATTAATTTACATAGCTTCATGTGGCTTGTGACTAGCCTGTTGGAAATTCAGTGCCAACAATCCTGTGATCCCCATTGCTGAAACTGAGTCTTTATGGCGAAGTGCCCGATGCATACAATATCCCTGAAAAACAACACCGTACAGTGGCAGGTGAAGGCTTAGAAGGTGGACACCATGTGCAAAGACAGTGTCAAGAACTGAGGGGGCATTCTGTTGACTCCTGTCTCATGCATCTTCATTCAGAGCCTTTGCTCTCAGTCGGTCCCCAGTCTGATGGGAATTCTGAAGAGTTTCTGTGGGAAACAGTGGAGAGGAGTTAGGTGTCGTGAGAGTCATGTGATGAGAAGGGAGTGGTCAGCGACAGCAGACACTTTGCGGTCAGGGCCACACAAACCCTCCATGTCTGCTCAGAGCTCCATGAACTAGCATCAGGCCCAGAGACGGGCATTGGGAGCGGGACAATTTCAAATGTCTCCAGTGCACACCGGGGGTCAGTATCTCATGATTTCTCCACTATCACTACCACTACTGCCGCCCCAAGCCCCATGCCACCCTGAGCCTCACTGGGGAAGGCTTCCTGGAGGAGGAAACTTAGGTAAATAAAGGCAGGGCTGGAGAAGAGGGGAAGGGCATGCCAGACAGAGAAGTTCGTCTTAGCAGCAGGGGAGAGGTAAGAGTGGCCAATCAAGCAAGGGGTGGCAGTTTGCCTGGAACAGCTCTTTACGGTGGGAAGACAAGGAGACAGAGTGTGGTTGGCAGAGGTCCTGCAAGCCATAACTGGAATCAGCCCCCTTCTGTTGGGGAGATGGAGATGGGAGCAGCCGGGACTCACCTTCCCCTTTCCAGGGCTTGGCCCCTGGGAGGGCAGATGTGAAGATGTGGTGTGTGACGTTATGGACCCAGTTCTTTGACTGTTGACTCACCGAAGAAGTGACTCTCATTGCCTCTGTCTTTCAGGATGTCTGGAGAATGCCAGAGTGCCGTGAGCATTTGTAAGTAACACATTCAAGAACCTACCATGGGGCTAATGGTGTAAGCATGAGGACCTGGGTTTGAATTCATTTAAAACTTCGGCATAGCTGTGCCTGCCTGTACCCTAGTACTGGGATTGAGAGGGTGGACCCTGGGAAGTGGCTGGCCACCTCTCCTTGCTAAAATGATAAGCTTCAGGCTCATTGAGAGATCCTGAAGGGATCTCAAGGGAATAAGTTGGAGATGGACATCTTCTTTGGTCTCTCCATGTGGGTACATAGGCACCTGCATTTGTCCCATTGCATTCAAGGCCTCCCTGTGACATGAACCATCTCTCAGCTGTAACCGTGTGTTGTACCCTTTATGTGAGCTGTGATCCAGCTCTCCAGCCCTTCTGCTTGTGGAGTGTGCTCTAGGCTGGAGAAACAGAAATGGTGGGAATGCTCTGGTTCCTGTTCTGGGCTAAGGTTCTAGAGGGCCAGGTTCACCAGTTACTTGTGAGCCAAGGCCTCAGGGACAATGACTCAGCCTCCTGCTCCCCAGGCTTTTCTCCTAAACTGTCTGTTCCTCTGTAGCAGTGGTCAGCAATGTTACCAGCACAAGCAGCAGCTCTGGAGGCTTCAGAGGGGCCAGTGGCAGCAGCAGTGGCTCCAGAAGTGGCAGCAGCAGTGGTGGCTTCAGAGGGGCCAGTGGCAGCAGCAGTAGCTCCAGAGGTGGCAGCAGCAGCGGTGGCTTCAGAGGTGGCAGCAGCAGCAGTGACTTCAGACGGGCCGGTAGTAGCAGCTATGGAGGAGACAGCAGTGGAAGCAGCAGCAGCAGCAACAGGGAGAGCACTGGGAGCAGGCTTGGCAGTGAAGGCAGCATCTCTGTAAGCCAGCGAGGAATGGGCTTTAACTCTGGTGGCACCCAGGCCTCCACTGGCGGCAGCTACAAGTCTGCCAGAGGAGGCGGCAGCAGTGTCCACTTTTCCCAGACCACCAGCTCCAGCCAGCAGCGCTCCAAGTGATCCTCAGAAGCAAAGCATTCCCACTGCCTGCTCTCCCCTGCCTCAGCCACAACAGTGCTGCTCCCCTGCCTCAGCCTGCAGCCGTGCCCCTCCCCCATCTACTTGGCACCAATAGGTGCACAGTGCAACCTTGCTTTCACTCAAGTTCCTTGGAGAAGGGGCTCAACTCCTGGCTCCCACATCTTTGAGTCTTCTCCTAGGCTAGGGTAACCCAGCTACTACTTTGACCTGGAGAAGACCCCGTGATGGGCCCCAAATTTGGACAATAACACCTGAACCTATGCCTTCCTGAGCCTTCTAGTCTAGCTTGGTCCATTTTGGCTGTCTACTGCTCACAGATCAGGCTTTCCAAACTGTCGGATTTCATGAAACCCTTTGTATACCAGGCACATCTGTTCCCTTGATCTCCTGAGCTTCAGATCTTTGCTTCCCTTTCTCAATAAATTGTACTGTGCTTCAGAAACTGGTGTTTGCCTTTTATTCAAGGATTCATAGAACAGACCAGATCCAAAAGTAAAGCAAAATTAGGTCTTCTAGAAGACTAGTAGCAGTATAAAGGATACTGGGTTGATATGGCTTTATCCTTACTCCTCTGCTTGAGTTCTTGTGACAGGCCTACCCAGAAGCACTCACTGTACTAAAGAGGGGACTCACTCCACCCTTGAGAAGCTCATTTCATCATTCCCAGCCTCTAAGCAGGCACCATGCTCCAGCTTGTATGCTCCTGGCTTGCACCCTCCTGGCTTCCTTTCTTTTAGCTCGCACACTCCTGGCTTGCACACTCTGGTTTGCACACTCCTGGTTTGTATACTCCTGGCTTGCATGCTCCTGGTTTACACTCTCCTAGCTTGCACACTCCTGGTTTGCACACTCTTGGCTTGCATGCTCCTGGTTTGTATGCTCCTGGCTTACACTCCCCTGGTTTGCGCACTCCTGGCTTGCATGTGTAGGGAGATTTGGGCGACATCACCCATTCTGTGGTGGTTTTTTTGGTGATGCAACTGCTTCTGAGTCACCCATGCTTCTGTAAGGAACCCCGATAAGCTCACCGACTCTACAAACTAGAGTTGAGTAGCATAATTTCTTTACACTGTTATCAGTCCCCTATCTGAGATGAATAGGTACTGGTTCATGTGTCTCCAGGAAAAGTCATAGAACAACATACATGCACACATGCATAGCACATAGAAATATGAACGTGTACATACATATAGATTTCACTGAATAGGGGCTTATAATATATACTCTTTCTACCCTGATAGTCACCTAGTCTATTGTGCCATTACTACTGTCCATTGAGACAGCCAACAACTACAGCAAATCCTACCACATCCTCGGCACTGTGCCAGGACCAAGGAAGGAGAGGATGCAACTTCTGTCTTTATGGAATTTACTGTTTAGAGTAAAAGAAATTTGCCAAATAACATCTTTATATGTAATTATTTTTCTCTCCACCCCTCTTATTTAAAGCATTTTCCCATTAGCAGGTCCCAAGGGTTAAGTTTCCAGGGTAAATTTGGGACCTTTGCTGTGATCAACCCAATCACATGACAGCTGAACTCCCTTATTCCCACTGTGGTAGTTTGAAAGAAAATGGCTCCCAGAGGGAGTGGCATTATTAGGAGGTGTGGCCTTGTTGGAGGAAGTCTGTCACTGTGGGAGCTGGCTTTGAGGTCTTTTTTGCTCAAGATTTCCTCAGTGTGACGATTAGTCAACTTCCTTAAGCCTTCTGGTCAAGATGTTGCCAACACCAAGTCTGCCTGCAACCACCATGCTCCCTGCTATGATGATAATGATTTGAAACTCTGAAACTGTAAGTGAGCCCCCTCAGTTAAACGTTTTCTTTGTAAGAGTTGCCATAGTCATAGTGTCTCTTCACAGCAATAGAAACCCTGACTAAGGCACTGACCTTGCTTCATTGATCAATTCCTTCATGTTGATCCTAAGCGCATTGTCTGGACAAACCTGCTCCTCAGAAAGTGTGTCCTAGGAGCCTGGCCTGAGCCGTGAGGGAGCCAAAAGATGACTGGCGCCTTGAATGGGATTGAATGGGAGGCTCACCCTCTTCTGGAAGGACCTAGTGACCTGGAGAGAACGGGGAACACTCTGGAGTCCTTGAAAACTTCACCGGTAAAGGACCAAGGATGACAGGTAACTCACTATGTGGGGAGAAGAATTTGTAAGAAAATGGTGGAAGCAGGGGTTTGCAGACGTCTGAGAAAGCAGTGGACACCTGTGTGAGACATCCAGAGAAGGCAATTGCTATCTTCAAGCCACCTATTTTCTCCACTCTTGTGGGACGTTTTCTTCTCTTGATAACCTAGCTTGAGTTCACTGATATCATGAGTTAGCTTATCCTTGGTGAACAGAGGTGCTGCCTTCCCTGCCTCCAGATGGCTCTGTTCACCTCTTCTCATCTACCTGCTATTATTAAGTTTGTGTTCCTGAGTTCTGTTCTAACTCCCACTGTTCCAATCATCCATGGACGCTTCAAGTCAGGCATCACATTTACTAAATTGGGATTACTCATAGCTAAGGCCAAATAGTTCTCACTTGAATGCCCATAAACTCAATTCATTGCCATTTTGCAAGATGCAGGGTCTTACATCATTTATTCAAGATGTACATAGACCACCTGGAATTTGAGACATTTCTTCTAACAGTTTTGCCTGGCTTTCCAAAGTCACTGGTGCTCAGACAGAATTAGACATGGTTTTTAATGCATTGCTGAGTCGGCCAGATCTCCCTCTACACATATAGCCAAATCTCTGAGTTTTTTTAATTTGGGATTCCTGTTTCTTCTTCCACACCGACTTACCTATCTACCCACCTACCTGCCTACACATGCATGCACACATGCACACAAACACAACACACCCCTGCTTCTTCCATACCTACCTGCCTGCACATGCATGCATACAGCACACAAACACACACATGCACAGAATACACACAACTTCTGCTTTTCCTTCCACACCTACCTGCCTATGCACACATGCACACAAACACACACACTCCTGCTTTTCATGTTTTGGATCACGAAGCCCTAAATAATCTTTGCCTGCAAATGTTGGAGGAGAAAAGACTGCATTGACCAAAGGGTATGCCACATGGTGGGTGCTCTCATGACTTCTCTGTTGTAGTTCATAAGGATGGCATGGCTGGACAAGTGCTGATAAATGCTGAGTGCTTGCTGTACATCCAGAATGCCCTTAAAACTGCTGGGTTCTCAGCCACTCTGAGTAGATCTTATTATTATCTTCATCTCACCACTAGGGAAGAAAGCACATGTACTAAATAACTTCACCAAGATTGGGTAACTATGAAGAGGGGAGCCAGGACTGAACTCTATCAACCTCAGAGTTAATTCAATACAAAGATGCAGAGACAGAGGTTTTGTATATGATTCTGGCCTTGTGACTCATGATGTCAAATGAGTGTTCTAAGGTCTTCCTGACTATTCTAGTCTCTAAATTTTAAAAAATAAATCACAATTAATGTATTCAGGGGTGTCACAGCCATATCATAGCTTGTGGGAGTCAGTTCCCTCCTACCATGTGGGTTTGAACATAGTGGTCAGGCTGGGCCCCTTGTGCCTATGAGGCCATCTCGCTGGCTTTCTCCTCTGGTCTTCCCATGAACTGGCTAAGTGTTCTCAGTGCAGCCACACTACAAAACATGTCTTGGCACTGGTGAATAGTTTTTGTGCAGTAAATGGGGCTGTGATCTTCTGGGGGTGTGGCACAGCTCACAGGGAACATTCAGCTCGGCGGTGGAGTGTGTGGGCTGCCCTAGGTTCTTATTTCACTCTTGTCATGAACTCTTATGCATAGCATGAGCTTCATAACTGACATGGTAGCCCCAGTGGTTTTGTTAGGCCATTGCTGTACTGAACAGTGAGATCTGGGGCAGAATCCAATCCACTGTTGAATCCCTGTGTCCCAAGCTTCTGAGGCCAGGCTGGATCCTCACTGCATGAGGCAGGGTTGGGTAAAATGATAATAATGGTGATAGCTTCTCTATGTTTGTTCTCTAGTGGCCCAGGGTCCTACAGCATGCGGGGTGGGGGTGGGGGACTGGAGCGAGGGCTCCAATGAGGGAGGCGCGGGTGTTCTGTCCATGGTGCTGAAACGGATTCTGCGCAAGCTCACTTGCTGGCTTGCTCTCTGTGTCTCTGTCTCTCGTGCGTGTGTGCATGTATGCCTGTGTGTGTGTGTGTTGTCTTTCAGGAGTCATGTCTGATACTCCCAGAGCTTCTTCCATCTCAACTCCAATCCCTGCTACTTTTGCTGCTGTTAGCATCTGGGCTTGGAGATTTCTTGTCTAAAAATTAAATGAACTTTTGATCCAAATCACAACTCTAAAATAGGCCTAGAATACATCCCACTCTGCTTTCTATAAAAGCAAGACATGAAATCATGTGTCCTTTGAAGTTGTTAAGGGGAAGGCTTGCATGTCTTTGTGTTTTCCCCGCTGCCTTGATTCCTGGAGAGTGTCTGTACCTGCTGATTGCACTATGTACTTCCTCTTCTGATGCTGATTATCATTTCTAATTTAATTATTTTATATGGGGTGAGAAGGATGTGAAGAACCTAGAAAACTGATCTTCTTTTTAAGGATATATTAGTTACAAACCTCAAGCTCCCAGAGATAGTAAACAAGCAAATTAAAACCTTTACAAATTATAGCTATTTACTTACATGTATGAATGCATGGGGTGCCACAGGGTGCAAGTGGAAGTCAGAGACCAGCTTGCAGGAGTAGGTTCTTTCCTTCCACTATGTGGGTTCTAGGGATTGAATTCAGGTTATCTGACTTGGTGCAAGCATATTTACCCTCTGAGCCATATTGCAGTCCTGAGTAAGTGATTTTAAAATCAACAATATTATTAATTTAAAGTCAACAATATTATTCATTAATCTGATGATGGAATTGTATCTTTCTTAAAGGGATGTTTCAAAGAATAAATTAAATAATAAACATAAAAATCACCTTATAAA